AGAGGGAGACACAGAATCGGAAGCAGGCTCCAGGCTCCGAGCCATCAGCCCAGAGCCCGATGCGGGGCTCGAACTCACAGACCGTGAGATCGTGACCTGAGCTGAAGTCGGACGCTTAACCGACTGAGCCACCCAGGCGCCCCAAGAGCAGTGTTTAGAATACTAAGTGGCACCAATCAGGCAGGGTGTGCTGAGCCACAAGCCATTTGGAAGAGGACTTGTAAGGTGAGACCCTGAACAAGACCTACACCGATGTCCAAAGAGTAGAAAATTCCAAGCCACTGCTCAACAAGAACATGACCTGCTCCTTACGTCTAGCAGCCTAGAAAGGAGATACCGTTCACCTGGAAAGGTTCCAGGCACGTCGTGAAGTGTGCTGTGCCCCCAACCCTGCGACAGAAAGCGTTATCCCTCATGTGTCTGTGGAAAAGCAGCCTAGCAGAGGTTAGAATGACCCCAGAGAGCCTCCCTGGAGATGTGGCCCAGGCTCCCCTCACTTTGTCCTGAAAGCCACCTTCACCTTGGGGTCGTGATGTCCACCCCTACCCTGGCAGCAGAGTGATGGTGTTCCCTCCCCAGCACCCCAGCTGAAAGGAGTGGAGGTCTATACATCAGATAACAAAAGTCTGGGACCTTCAGATGGACCCTCAGCAAAGGCTGGACACCCATACTAATCCGGCCCAGAGACACGGTATCAGGTTCACGGGAAGGGACGCGGGTCCTGTCTTTGTAGGCTCCACACTCAACGTGGGGCTCGAACTCACGACCCTGAGATCTAGAGTCGCACGCTCTGCTGACTGAGCCGGCAAGAATGTGGGTCCTGTCTTAATTCCCGGCGCCCTGAGCCCAATCCCTCAACGCCCACACACTGACGACACAAAGGGTCACCAAGGATCTCTGGGGACACACGGAGCCAGGAAGACCCACCCTCACCGGAGCATTTCCTGCCAGGTGGTCTTGAGAGTTGGTACTCGATTCCGGGCGGGGGGCGGGGGGCGAGAGGAACAGATCCCCGAGCTTCCCCAGGGCCCCTCAGCAGCACCCCGGGAAGCTCGCCGGCTGCTCCTGCAGCCTCCCCACGGGGGGCCCCAGCTGCAGAATCCCCAGGCAGAAGCAGGGCTGCATCCCCAGCCTCCAGAAATCTCAGCGAGCACTTTCCCTCGCAGGGCGGGCGGCTGGGCCGGCTCCTGGCGGCTCCAGCTCAAACGCAGGATGACACATAAAACGCAACCCCGGCGAGAAGAAAGCCACATTAAGGGACCGGCTTCCCCCCTGGCTTCTGGGGCTGAGCCTCAGAGCCACCGGGGCCAGCAGAGGGTTGCTCGCGATAAGGCCCGTTATGTTTTCACAGGTGAGAAGAATTAGCAGTTTGACGGGTCTAAACTGCCGAACCGTCCTCCGCCTTTCCACGTGTCAGGTCATAGAAGCCTGGGAACATAAAACGCCTCCTGCGCTCGAAAACCCCAGCGGGACAGGGCTGGGCCCACAAGTTCCCACAAACTCCAAATTTGCATTAGCTCGGCGAATAAATGCCACTTGCAATTCACTTTATTAAAAACCACGAAAATTAGACAAAGGGGAGAAGTGTTCACACAGCGTGGAAGGGAAACGCTGCAAGGAACAAGCTGTTTCCCCACCGTGTCCCCCAAAACGGCCCTGGGACCCGGGCCCTGTCAGAGAGTGCCACTGGGCCGAAGTCACAGACCCGGGGTCACGGGTTATCCCGGGAAGGAAGGGACCCCGGAGAGCCGAAATCCCAGGCGCTGGTGCTTCCAGCCCAGAGCGGAGACTGAGAGGGACAAAGTTCGTATCCGAGTCTAAGGTGGGGAAAGGATCCGCTGGATGAGCTTTTTCCCCTTCCAAACCCACGGTGCTCAGCGGTTCTAGCGATGGCTGATCGAGCGCTGATAACAACCCTTTGGTTCCAAGTCCCCGTCAGCCGGTCGGACGAGAAGGTTTTTCCAAGTCCTTTGCAATGGGAAACGAAGCAGGAGATAAGGGGGCGTGTGCACACACACACGCGCCCCCGGGGGGCGGCGCGGTGGAGCCCCGGCTTGTATCTCTGTGTTTACAGAACGCTGTGGCTTCCTCCCCAGCCTGGCGTTGCTCTGGGGCTGCCCAGCAGCAAGACCGCTGCCGTAGGCCAGCCCATGAGCCGGTCTCTTCTGAAGTCAGTTCAGCTGGCTGGCTGCCAGGCCGATCCCGAGAGACAGAGCGTGCGACCGCCCAGAGTTCAGGACGAGCCACCGCACAGACGCCATCCGCCTCTTCTCGTCTGTTCTTCTCTGCGTTATAAAGAGACAGCCCGTCACTTCCCAGAGCCCCCCACAATCTTCCCTGGTACCTTCGACACGACACTGAGATGGCTCCTTCCTCTGTACGGTTGCCACAGGAAAGGGCCCAGGTGTCCCCGCCAACAGGCTCCCATCAACAAGCCATCAGGCCGATTCTCACCCTTGCTTGCTACTTCACGTGTGGTCCTCAGACCAGCAGCAGGGAAAGCAGGGGAAATGCCCGGGAGCTTGATGGCAAAGCAGGACCTCAGGCCTCAGCCCCCCAAATCAGAACGCGCGTCTTAACAGGCCCTCCCGGCGATGCGGAGGCTAACACGCTATACAACCCCCTACGTGGACGACAAATAATCGCGCTCCATCTGCAGCCAGTACGAACGGATGACTCTTGAAAAAGGAACCCTGCTCCTATCCCACCCCTAAAGATGCGCTCAAACTTCAAGGACATTTTAGACTCCTCTCCTTAACTCGTTACTTTAGATTTCTAATGACGAGGACAATCAGGGTGTATCAGGCACTTGGAGGGCGCAGGATCTGGGCTAGCCGGGTATAGCGCGCACCCCGGCGGTCGGGCGCACTGCCCACCCCCCTATTCTGCCCACCCCACGTCAGCCAGAAAGGAGAAAAAGGGACCCAGAAAGCACAGGGCGACCAGTCTGCAGCCAGCCACCACAGTGTGATCTTGCCCAAGAAAAGCCCTCACGAGGCTCTTCGGCCGGTTCCCGGGTTAACGCTTTGATTTGGAGCTTCTGTCGTGCCAAAGAACAGGGGTTTAAAATAGAAAGAAGCCTTTCTCCCCCCCACCAGGCTGAATGTCAATCACGTCCTCGCTTTTCTAAACGCGTTTGTGGCTGGCACAGTGATGCCCAGAGGTTTGCTTTTTTTTTTTTTTAAGAAGAAATCATCAACACCTATCTTTTTTTTTATTTTAGAGAGGGAGAGAGCACGAGAGGGGGCGGGGCAGAGAGAGAGAGGGAGAGAGGAAGAATCCCAGGCAGGCTCCACACCCAACGCAGAGCCTGACACGGGGCTCAATCCCACGACCCTGGGGTCATAACCTGAGCCGAAATCAAGAGTCGGACACTCAGCTGACTGAGCCACGCGGGCGCCCCCAGATTTGCCTCTCTTAATGAGTAGTTCACACACCTGTCTGGAAATGTGGGCCCATCTGCCCACCTGCCAACCCGGGTTATGCTCACGGGTTGTCTGATTTCTTGCTCAAGGCAACCCTGTCGGGCAGCTTCCCATGTGCGCTTTACTCAGAGACAAGGTTACGCTGCTGGTAAGCTGGGATTTAAACCCGGGGCATCCGTGGCCAGTCCTCCAAACTCCGCCTCTCCAACACAGCCACCCCCCTGGTTCTGAAGCCCTCCCTCGCATCACCGGAGCAGACGGCAGGTAAACTCTCTGGCAAGCGGGCAACAGAAGAGGGCCGAGCTGCCTCCCTGGGGAAGGCTCCCTCCCTACCCACAAACACCTCAGCAGTGATTCCCCAG